TAACAATACCGGTGCTATTGTCCCCCTTATTTGTACTATTCCTAATTGTTGTATTTTTTTTTTCTTTTTATTAATAAAAAACTAGCCCTAGGCGCTTGCCTAGCGGATTGCGAAATATATATATATATATATATATTATATACCTTTAAAATCATTTGCACAATATAATTTTCCAACAAAAGATGGTCAAAATTACATGACGAAATGTGGTCAATACCCTTACCGGAGTGTAGCTTCGCACCTATACCTCACATGTGAAGAAGAGGCGGAACAGACTTTTATTTCGCTACTGATTCTTTCTCATTTATACATTATGGAACTATAATTTTACCTTAAAGTGAAAATCTTTTATAGAAATTATACCTTAAAATACTTGTTCATACCAACAACAACAACAACCCAGTATAATTTCATACGTGGGGTTTGGGGAGGGTAGTTTGTCCTCAACCTTTACCCCCACCCCGAGGGCAGAGAGGCTGTTTCCGAAAGACCCTCGGCACAAGGAGATGAAAAAAAAGCACTTGTGTTCATACCAAAAGCGTGAAAAAATTCTATGGAATTGTCTGGATCAACTTTGCATTTATAAGTAAGCTACTCATCGAAAAAGAGATGAAACCAGGGGCGCAGCTAGAGCATACAATACGGGTTCTCGGGAACCCAGTAATTTTTGCGTAGATCCTGTATTTATATTAAGAAATTCACTAAATATTTGTAAATATCTAACTGTGAACCCAGTTATTATTGCATATTAATCTAAAATTACGGTAGGAACCCATAAGCCTCAAATCATGGATCCGCCTCTGGATGAAACCCAGGGCTTTGGTTCAATCATTAAGACGATCATGGAATAAGTAAGACACTTATCAAAAATGCATTGTATCTCTTAAATGTTAATAGTCACGTACAACTATTTCGGCTTTAGGTGATGCTCGCTGATATTTTGTGAACTCTGCGAGTATCTTTGCCTCTGTATATGCATAATACGGACCAGGCTCAATTAGCATTCTCACCAGCATCGGAGCATTGGCCAATAGAAGCTTGACGAGCTGCATTTCAAGCATTGTGCATGTTATTCCTTCAACCTTGACAGTCCTAAGGTGATTCAACGTCACATCCGAGAAGCTTGCTGAAACTTCATCAACTTCATTATCCGATTCATCCATAGATACCTAAGAAAGATTATAAAGATTGAAGATCTAATGAGTACGAAAATAAGGAAGTCGTCATTACATATGAATAGCGCATACAAAAGAAAATGAAAACTATAAACATCACTAATAACCTTCACTTCGAGAGTTTGTAAATATGGGGCACTTCGTATCAAGCAAAGAGCACAGGAAATATCATCTAATTCATCCACAGATACATAAAGATGTTTGAGATGGTTAAGAGCAGAGGAAAGCCGTCTTGGTACATCAGCAACCAAGAACTACAAATAAAATTAAAAATCAGGATGACACAGAAGCCCGTAAGATGGTACATTTAATGAGAATACATTACAATGAAGTTTTGAAGCAACATTTACCTGGGAACTTCCATATTCCAAGTGCAGATGCTCAAGAACAGGAAATGACTGAAGAAATTTGTCAAGATCACATTTTTCTGAATCTTCATAAGATTCACCATACATAAGAGAGAGTTTAGTAAGATGAGGAACATATTTTAAGGGGGCTTTAATTTGAATGTGGCTTAAAGTATCTGAGATTTTCAACACTAAATTCTCAAGGTACGGGCTAGAAGAGATTAAACTTTCCAGTGATATGGAAGAAACTGAGACATGACACAGTTCCAGGCTAATTAACATATTGAATCCTTTGAAGGCCGGTGGAGGACATATTAGACAATTCTGGAGGGTCAAATGCCTCAATTGGGAACACGTGAAAAATGACGAAGGCAATTTGTATAGGTTCCACTCTGAAAATTGAACAACAAGATGTTCAATGCCGTTCCTAGAGAGGAAATATATCAAGCTGTCAATCTTAGGATACTTTTTCAGTTCAGACATGGAAAGGGTAAACTTAGTAATCGGTCCTGAATGAAGGGTCAAAATGTTGTACATAATGTTTGTAAACTTAATAGAAGGGGATAGCAAGTTATTTGTCGTCTTCCAAATTTTATCATCAAGTGTCAGCTGTGGAAGTCTGCACCACTTATACCTCCATTGCTTCGATAAGATGCTTGTCCTCACAGCATCACGCAAAGGCAAACGCATCAGAATGGCATTGATAACATTCTCAGGGAGATTGGTAGGTAAACTTTCACAACTATGTTTTTTGTGCTTAGGTGGCATCATACAACACCGATAGGACTGCAGAAAATAAACAAGAACACAAAGGTAAGTAATCTACAAATTATCTGCATTTAGTACATAGAGAACACTCTGATGAATGGCATTCTTTAGAGCAAGAATACCTTCCATAAATACTTCATGAATCCAAGGGAATATACAGATTTGTTATTGGAAAGAGAAAATCAAAAACATTACATACGAGAAACACATCATCTTTTGCCTCTAATAAACTTCTCAACGGACATCTATAGCTACACGGCAAGGAAAGATATATGTCCAGTATTTGCGAAGTTTCACTCTAAGTTAGTTCTTGGTTGGTAGGACATAAATTAGACACAATGTATTATTACTAGGTTCGGTGGCGATTGGTGAAAATTAAAGTAGAATTAGTTCAATTAAATTGCACACCGCGAGGAGTCCCTTGCACCATAAACGATTCGCTTCCATTTGATATAGAAAGGAAAAATACTTTAAATAATTTACACCAATACCTAACTTCAAAACAATCCAATGCTTACCAGCCTATCCCCCCCCCCNCATGAGAGAATAAGGTTCAAATCTAGCTTTAGGTAATTTCTTTCCATTTACTAAACCATAATGGATGTAGTTACAAGTGCCTGTGGAATAGTTGAAGCCCTCAAACTCGCTAGGGCACCACTGTTTTAGTGGTGGGGGTGGGGGACTCTCTATGTCACATTTTCTAGAATAAATTCTTCTACTCCAACACTACATCAATCCTTTAGAAGATTCTGGCAAGCGCCATTTACTTCTAGAAGATTCAAGAACATGCCCCGAAACTGAGCTGTGACTTAACTGTGGATGAATAAGTGTTCTACATCTTCCTAATCTTCTTCGCACATTACATACCTGTTGCAAATTATCAATCCCCTTCATTGTAAACTGTGTTGGGTCAAGCAAGCCTCTCTAGACACTAACCAAAAGAAGCATTTAACCTTGTAAGGTGCTTTTTTTTCATATCCTTTTGCATGGCCATATTTATTGTTGTTGACTTTCCTGATATAAAAGATTTGTATGCAGACTTCACTGGAAAATACACATCTTTGTTCCTTCCATATTATCCTGTGTGATGTAAACTGCAACTCTTGAAGAAATCACTGGTACCAGGTAGCTCTACGGCTCTACCCACCAAGACTTGGGTAGATCGGAAGAAATCACCTAATGTTTTCGTCTTCGGTAGTATTGAACGTGAGACGTCATGGTTCTCCTCCTACTTCTTTCTAATTACTTTGCTTCCATAATTATCACTCATTACACACTACCGAAGACCTCATGGTTCTCCTCCTACTTCTTTCTAATTACTTTGCTTCCGTTTATCACTCATTACAGAACCTCCATAACCATTTCATTGGGACAGATATTTTGAAACCTTACATTTCTAACTCTGGTACCTCTATCCTTCTTATCTATTAGAGGTCGTTTGGTCTGAGGGATAACGGATTATAATCTGTTATGATTTCAAGATTAATTTATCCCACGTTCGGTAGGATTTTTGATATAGGGATTAGCAATCCCTGAATTGTTTATATACCATTGGGGTATTATTTTTATCTCCACTCCAAGTGGGAGAAAAATGCCACGATTAATAATGCAGGAATTAAACACCAAAATGACACGTCTGTCATTCTTCAAAACTCTTCTCCTAAAGTCCTTAAAGAAAGCCAAAGCTAAAATTGAAAATAAAAGTTTATTCCACTTTTTCTAGTTTAAAGCAAACACATGTTTTATATTATACTTTTTATATCCCATTTTCAGTCAAATGAACCAAACATCTAACAATAAAAGTATATCCACTAAATAATCACGCCATTCTTAATCCAATATTATAATCCCATCATTATAATCCAGTATTACTTGTTATCAGTGCTTCTTTCATCTTTTATTTTGGTATCGTAGTCTTAGTTTTCTAAATATCTTGTACTGTTATTACTTACTATCAGTGCTTCTTTCATCTTTTTCTTAGTTGTGGGCCTATCGGAAACAACCTCTCTACCCGTTCAGGGCAGGAATAGGATAGGAATAAGGCTGTATAAATTTTAGTCTCCCAGACCCCAATTGTGGGAATACACTAGGTCGTTGTTGTTGTTATATTATTAATCCCAAAATAACTTGTTCACCAACCAAACAACCCCTTACAGTTTTATTTTCCAATTAACCAGATTGAAGGATCTTTTTCCCCAGTTTCCTTTTTTGTGAGAGAAACGTCAATGGATTCTTATGCTTTTAAATAAAACTACATTAAGAAGTCACTATTAAAGAACACATACACAAACGCCCAAAACGAAACTAAAAATTAAAACATAGTATTGAAACAGAACATAACAGACTTATTATTGAAGTTCATTCAAAAGGGAATAAATGATAAAACACAAAAATAAATAAATGATGGAAGCACAATTTAAACTTACAAGAAGATTGCTGATAATGGAAATTCCAAAAGGATGGAATGTGCCTTTACTCTTTGGGTTGTTGTCAGAAACCCTTATGCACCTACTTGTGTGCTGCTTGAGCTGTTAACGGCTTGTTTCGATGGTTGTTAGCATTTGTACTGTATTTTATGTTATTTAAGGGGTGGTTTGGTAGAATAGCATTAGATAAAATAATGCATGTGCAGACAATAAATTAGTGTCGAGAAAATAAAATCAAGACCGAAAAATATCGCAACAATCGTAGTATTTTATTTAGAATATTTGAGTGTTACAATCTCTATGAATGCTCTGATTCTTCCTTCCAATAGTAGATAAATTCAAGGGCCTTTGAGCTTCATCTTGAATTTGACCTTGATCTGTTCTTCGTTCTTGAACTTGCACTTGATTTCTTGAACTTGAAGCTTGAAGCTTGAAACTTGTGGAGGAATTTGCAGCGTTTGATCCACGAGCTCTTTCTTGCTTCTTGTTATAACTGTCACACCTCCTTTTTCACCTACACCCCGGAAAAAGGGTATATGTAAAGGAAGTTTTTCTAATTAAAGGACAATCGAAACGGGATTTATTTTAAGAAATTCAGAGTCGCCACTTGGGAGATTTATGGTGTCCCAAGTCACCGATTGAATCCCGAATCGAGGAAAATATGACTCTGTTTAACAGTCCGCGAACCAGAAATCCGAGTAAGGAATTCTGTTAACCCGGGAGAAGGTGTTAGGCATTCCCGAATTCTGTGGTTCTAGCACGGTTGCTCAACTGTCATATTCAGCTTATTTATCTGAATTTAATACATGTTGAACTTATGTGCCAATTTTAGCTTTCAACCGCTTTTATTCAATTATTTTTAGAGAAAATTGAACGTCGTTTAAAACGTGTCTTTGAATTGCGTCATATGAAATGCACCCGCAATCCTGAACACATTTTATTCAACGTTTTTGGGATTTGATTTGGGTCACATGAAATGCACACCCGAGTTTAAGAAGGTAAATTATTAAAAGCGCACCTAAAGTGACTAATGTGTTATTATCTTTGGGGAGGGCTGTGAAATTCGCTAAACGGCCCATTTCGAATTCTAAGTATTTTATCATAGACATTTAAGAGGACCCCGCAATTTATGCATTTTTGTTTAGCAGGGCTCGCCTCATTTATTATTTAAAGGCCAACCTAAAGCAAACTACAATTTTCTACTTAGTTTGTCTCTAATAATAACAGAAAAATCCCTAATTAATTAGTATTGTTCAAGAACTAATATTAAGAACTTTATATATATCAATCAACAATAATCCCATTTTAAACTAAGGCATAAACTATATGGAAACATCAATTGGTTACAGTTAAGACCAGACAATCTATACATACATAGTCAAAATTTCAGCAGAAGCTATTGTTGTATACAATCTATACCTTGAGCACAGTTGGACAACTTAACACATGAATCATAACAAGAAAACAAAATTATAAACAGCAAAAGCTAATAGAATTTAACATTCAAACAAGACTTTTATTCAAATTCCAATTCGAACATCCAAATCTGCATACAAATTCAATCTGGTTCCAACTTGTGGCACTTCATTTGTTAGCAAAAGGTATGAAGGAATACCTGGAAATGAAAGTCAAAAGGGGGTGAGATCAGAAGTAAAAACAACATCAATCACCAGCAGCAACAAAACAGTCTCAGTTTTAATCCATCTATTAACCCCAGATAGTTCAATGAAACAGTATATGGAAGATGGTTTCAGCCAATTCAAAATTGAAAACCAAAAATAGAAATCAATGAAACAGTAAATTCCAGTATTTTTCAGAATGTTTTCTTAGCTCTCTGCCCATGTATATCCAGTGTATCCAGAGTGTATATCGAGTGTATACCGCTCTCTCCGCCCCCTTTTTTTCTTCTCCTCTCCGAATTTCCTAGCCTTCTACCCTATTTTAATGTTCTCCCTCTCTCAGAATCTCTTCCAAGTTTTCTTAGCTTTCTGCCCTTGTATATCCAGTGTATCCAGAGTGTATATCTAGTGTATACCGCTCTCTCTCCCCCCCCCCCCCCCTTTTTTTTCTCTAATCTGATTTTAAGCTCCCTTAAATGGGAATTCAATTAGTGCATTTTCTACTACCAATTCAACTTTTCATTTCTTTAATCATCCACTTAATTGTTCACTCAATTAATGCTTTTAATTAATTTGATAATGCAAATACTACCCTACCACTATTAGAAGCTTCTCAATTAGTAAATTGTCCCAACCAGATTTTCCTCTTCTTATTCTCAATGGATTTTGGCTGAGTTTTGGTTTTGGGCCTGGCTAAATTGGCTCAACCAGATTTTCCTCTTCTTATTCTCTTTTCCTTTTCAATTTTCTTTTCCTTTTTCTTTTCAATAATTAAAACTAAAATCCTAATAAATTATAAAACACCAAATTAACTTAAAAATTAATTAATTCTAACTAATAATTATCACAAATAATTAAATGCCAAATTAAAAGAAAATCACACAATTTGACTAAA